CCTTCAGAAGATTCATAATCGCTCTTTTGTTTCATTATTTGCATACAAATGGACTACAACTGTAAATTCAAGCGGTTGAGTCGGAAAGACGAGAAAAGAGAAAATTCATTGCAGATAAATTTGATGATGACTTTAAGATACAGCAACACAAGTGATTGGTCGGGAACCCTTTTTGCCTTCTTTATCTTCTTTGTTTCTTCCTTCTCTATTTTGTTGCTCAATTATTGTTGTAAAAATAAATCGTCTCTAATGAATTGTGATGTAATGCCTTCATTCGATTTTATTAGCATTTGACTGTATGCTTGGCTTATGATGACTTTCAAGCGTAATGATTTGAGAGTGTTTTTAATCAAGAATTTGCATTTTAATGTGAAGTCATCTCCCAAAAAAGCTACAATTTTCTCATTTGCGTGACAAATTACAGTCAAATAGACTTGAAAAAGGTAAATTACAACACCCAAGCAGACCCTCCTCAATCACAAATTCCAGTCACAATCGCAAATTATTGACAAGATTGAAAAATTACTCCACGTTCCATTCCTGTTTTCTCCGTCAATTATTCTCCTTTAAAACAATTTTATATCATCCGTAAGACACCCAAGGAAATTCCTTTAAATCAATGCAATACAATCAAGTACAATAAACCGTCCCTTTACACAGGAAATAGGAACCGAACAGAAATAAAAATAATTTCTCTCTTTTATCGCTATACGAAATTAAATTTTTTTTGTGTGCTCCCAATGGAAATGCTTTCATTTCTCCATTCAGAGTGTAGACAATAGAAGAATAATGGGATGTAAGGCAACGGAGTCTTTAAGTTGAACGTGACCCATATTTGACCTTTACAATAAAAAATTGTTCACATCCTTTCCATCTGTAAAATTGATTACATTAGGTAACTTTTTTACTTCTTACCCGCATTTACAAGGAACTACTTCCAATAATGGACAACAATTGCTTTATGAGGCATTCCTTTCTGCTTCTCTGGAGCAACTGTTTTTGCGGCAATTCTCTGACTTGATAATTTAATCTTTAAAACCTACAATCGGTCCCTTTTTGGATCAAAACATTCCTCAATGTCACTTCTTATGATACAGATTCAATGCGAACGATATGCACCGAGCAAGAAAATATCGTTAAGACAAATGTGTAACCAATTACATTTCGTTGGGTGACTTTAAATGGCATTCATTACATGTAATTCATTACATGCAACGTAATTCATGTAGATTTGACACAAATTGACAATCGTGTTGTGAGCACTGCGTACTGAATTAATGCAAGTTGATTATCGATTAAGTCGGTGAATGATGGAAGGGATTATATGGAAATGATATATGGACTGCTAAAAGCGCATTTCAGAGGTAGTTTCGTGATTGAGTTGTGGGCAGATGTAAGTGACTTGAATGAAAGTTGACCACATGCTTTGTACTGAATTTATGTTCTAATCAAGCAGCGCAGCTATTGCTCAACCCGAAATCTATATTACGAACACTTGACTTTAATACGGAAGCCGTATGAAGTCGTATGAAGCCAATGATCAAGGATTGTTTCTTCAGAGTTTAAGCACAAGGGGAGCCTTTAATTATACTGGTTCTTGAATAATAGGACTTAGTTCCAATTTCTTTAATAAAATCAAGTCAGATTTGATGAGACTCGAACCCACGCTTTTAACATTGACCACTCATTATGGAATTAATGTTATTTTAATGCCTAGGAATTTTAGGTTTTTACCTCACTATGGCTATCCCTCATGCACATGTAATCTGCAACATTGTAAGCTCAAGTCTATCTACTCGAGTCGTGCTTTACATCGACATTCTACTTATATTTTTCTTACTATCGCAAGTGACTGCATCATATGAAAAAACCGTCCGATATTAAAGTTTATGCGTATGGAAGTTGCTGATTTAAAGCTATGGTCACTTTAAACATTAAAGCTAGTTAAACAGCCATAACCTCATATATCTCCACGATGTAAAAAATTGCACAGTAAATAAACACACATTTCACATAATCTTGTAAATATCCAATGCGTCGATTAGTTTGAGGTCATACATTATTTTTTGCATCACGCTTACTGATCTACGACAATAAAAATGCAAATCCATTTACTTTTAAAGTACCACATAAACCTAATTCTCTCTATATATGTACACTTTAGATATTATAAATGCGGCTTATGAGTAAATTGAAAATGCTGTATCAAGCATTAATCATTTTTTTTCTTCTCTCCACTGTTTGATGTTCAAGAGCACTGCAGTATTTTTTTTCTTCTTTGCATCGCTCATGCATAAGTGCTTGAGTGTTAGTCGAGTGGCAATTGCAAAGCATTTGGAGCTCGTGTATCACTTAACATATGTTGTATTTTGTTAGTGCATTTTCAGATCTCTTTTTATTTTTGCTGAATGTCAGTTTTAATTTATTGCCGTTGGTGTGCTTAGCTTGTGAGACTAGAGTTGCTGATAGGTGTGGAAATGTTGGGAAGTCTTTGAATGATTTGATGACTTTATTGCTGTGATTTTAAGAATGATCTTAATTTGATAAATGAAGTTGTGGATTGAGGGAGTCTTGAGTCTGGGTAGTTTTCAAGAGCTTTCTGAGGTACTCAAGTTTCATATAAATTTCATTCAAACTCCATAGTCAGGTACCAAGAAACGAACTTTAGAAATTAGCTCTCGGGTATCTAGGTTGCCACTAAATATCCAACCCTAGTCATAGGAATTTTTTTAAAATTCTGCAGAATACTGAATCTTAAACTACATCCAGGGGAGCCCTAGAATTTAGAACCTAGAGTCTAGAGGGACCTTAAAAGCTCTGTTATGAGACGTTCCTTGAAAAAAGATTTTGAACACTATTTTAAGGACAAGAGATCTGTTCAAGTTCAATTTTTATTTTTGACATCATTTACGATTGACCCCAAACCATAGATTCTCAATTCTTTAAACTATCCATTCAAATCCTCATCAAAAAATCCTAAAACTCAATTCAATTTCTTCCACAACATTTTAAATCACCTCCATATATCGTACGCCGGTATCTCGCATGCATGAAATGAGATGCCTCTGTCAGCAGCAGAAAATTTATTCAATGAATTATGTAGTTATCTTAATTGTAGCTTTAGGCATCGTAATATTCTCAGGAGAGTATTCACTTTCTGACGCAAGCGAACAAACGAGGAGGCAAGAAAGAAAGAAAGTGAAAATAAATATTATGAAAAATTTCGCATACACAGGCATGGGGAATGATAAAAAAAGGTGCGACGTTTTGGAACGTAAATTAGCGTTGAATGAAAGGAGAGAAGATGAGAGAATGGGAAGAAGGAATGTGTTAAATTGCTTGCTGTCGTTGCGACAACAATCCTTTATGTTGAAAAAGTGAGGATGGAAGTTACTGCTGCCTTACCTACTCATTAATTACTTCTTTCTCATATTTTTTTGTGGGCTTTCATTTTAATTTTTGGGAAGATGAAAATTGATATTTATGTGCAAATATTTACACATTTTGGATTGCTGACTACTTAAGGCATTTATGGTGAATGGCATAAGATTGAGAAATTGATGCTGAAGAGTCTATGATGAGGCTTCTTGTGGTGAAGTGTTATTGATCGAAATTGGATTTTGGATGGACTGAGGAAGTATAGTTGATGCTTGAAAATTTAATTTCCTTTTCTAAGGCAATTTTATTAAAAGTTGGTGAGAAGCATAACTGGAAGGGAGATCAAGGGGTGGGAATATGAAATATGTCTCAAAAATTCATACATTTAATCGGCTCAGAATTAGAATTTATTTAATTAAAGCTGAAGCTATCTTAGGCTTTATTATGTCTGGTTAAGAACTTATCAAGATATCAAACCATGCCGTCTTTGCTTGATAATTGTTGAGTCGTCAAACTATCCACTGCTATTCACTAATGTGATGCTGAGCCTTTATAGACTCTCATATCCAAAAACACTTAACGTAATGATTGAAAAATCAGCTTAGTTTGGTAATCAAACCTAATTTCAAGGGAAGTTATTGATATCCTGCCCTTTAGTCCTGCTCTGATTAAATATCACAAATGTAGGTCATTACGAGGACAACGTGTCAAGCATTTTGATGAGGACTATTTGAATGATGAGGATATAAATAAGCAGCATTATCAGGACATTATTGGCTTTATTAAGGACATTGGAATTCTAGCATAGGGGACTTGGGATGTTACAACAGATCATCGATTGCAGTGTCGCTTTTTCTATAAGCAAAACCCTACATTACATTCTTTCTCTGATTAAGTACCTCAAAGTATGGCTTTTTGGATACATGTGTCATGTTTTAAAGATTTTCAAACATTGCTGGATCTTAGATACAAAAAATTCTCAAAATACACAGAAAAGAGCGTCTAATTACATCCTTCAAAAAACGAACATTATCGCTTAATTTAAATTTTTCCTCCTCCCATCCCCACAAGCTTTCTTTATCACCATCTTCATCACATTGAAACTGTAGTAAGTATAATTTATGGCATTACGATGTGTATAAACAGTCAGCCGGCCTGGCATGCTCTTCACAATTATTGCTATTCTTGTTATTTAAAATTACGAATAAAAAAAATTAGAGCGAACCACATTTTCCATCATTTTGCTTCTTCTTATTTATTTTCATTATCTGACGCTATTTTATTAAAAATAATGAAAATGTTTACACAACATTTAATAGAAAAAAGACATTTTTTTTTTGTATGTTGCGGTATTTCCCCGACATTCAGACAGAAAATAAATAAATTTTGTTTAAACGAATGAACATCGGAGATGAAAAATAAGGAATAAATTCAGATGCCAAGTCAGTCACTTTGTGGTTTTGAATTTTTATGTTATTTCCGCAATCGAAAAGTAAATAAAAAAATTTCTTGTGTTAATCACGTCAATAAACTGTCATCGACTAATAAAAAATTTAACATTCGTATTCAGCCGTCATTAACAAATCAATTTAAGTCGATTTTCATCTCAAAAAATCGATTTTATTTTCTTCTACATGCTTGACATACTATTTATAAATCTTAGGTGAACTCAGTCACTCGAAAAGTAACGTTTTTGATTGATTGACTCATAACCAGTATATTTTGGACTATTTTCGTATTCCTCAATCATCATAACATTTTCCATTCGTTCCAACGCGAGTGCCTCGACTTTTTGTAAAAGATCAGGATATGAAATGAGCAGGTTTTGAAAATCTTCTTTGCGAAGTCTACCGGGAGGCAAAATAAAATGGAAAAAAATATTGAATCAATAATAAAAATTTCAGATCCCGAAGTCGATAGGTTGACTTGAGTTGACTAGAGTCGACTTGAAAAAAAAATGAAGCCGATTCACGAAAAGTTGGGTCAACTCGAAAAAACTCAAGTCCACTCGAGTCAACTCGCCTCGACTTCAAGCTCTGAAAAATTTCAATTTTGAGTACAGAGTAAATTTTGACAGGCAGATGAAAAATTCATGGATTATATATTTGAATTGAAAAGCAAGCTACAAAGTACATGAGATGAATTTATTGATGATTGTTTTGAGGAGATGGAGATGTTTTTGAATGTTGTGGATGAATATTTTTGAGTCACTGGAGTCAAGAAGCTTCAGAGAAGTCACAAAATGAAATGCCACTTTGCTGACATTTCACTGGATAAGTTAAGCAATGGGACAGGCTTCTTAAGGTTCTAAATCCCTTTTTCGAGTGTCTGACTTAAGATATGTCTTAGGTTGAGTGCACTTTGGATGTTCCTAGACTAAGGGGACATTGAGGATACCTCAGAAGCCAACACATGACAATGCATTGAGGACTAGAGCTATATCCACAAAAATAATATCATAATCTTGTTCAAAAATATTTTCAACATAAGAATCAATAAGAATTAAGCTTAAAAATGCAATTTAGTTTAAATCTTCATTCCAGCAACTGATCCATTAAATTAAAAACTATTTTTCTTATAGAAAACAAAATTCCAATCCTCGGTAATTCCCATTCAAACATTCCCCAGTAATCATTAAGATTACTGCCAATAGCTTTTTACTGTAAACATTCTCATCCACATGTTCAGTCATTTCTGTAGAAAATGTAGCAAATTCGTGTGCACAAACCCATCAAATGCATTTCTCACGCAAACTGTAAAGACAGTAATCAACTTATAATGCAAACTTTATTGTATCTGCAATAATCGCTTTTGTAATTTCCAACATGTTTACAACAATCGTCTCCTTTAATTGCCAAATGCACTTTTCAGATTACAAAAGAAAATTTTTGTATCCAGCAGATTAAGAACAAATCAATTCTGACAGACAATTGCTTCTAATTTAGTCTTTAATGTTGAAATTTATCGAACTTCTTTCGATTTTATTGCTAATTTATTTTTATTGTTTCAAAGAGAATCAATTGTGAGAATGTTCAACATTAATTTTCAATGTTCCAATGCATTCGGTAATTAATAACAAATTCAACTGAACCACATTAATGTCTAACGATTAAGAGAATTCTTAGACGGGGAAAAAACATTGTTGTTCTTTAAAGGAATTCAGGGATGTAGCAAGAGTTTTTATTAAAGTATAGCTCTGGACAGCTTCTCTGCTGCTACGCCTCTGAATAGAATTGCAACAATTTTATTCTGTCTGTAGCAATTAATTTTTTTTTTCATCCTTATAATAACCTACGATGGATGTGTGTACAAAGTATTTAGATCCATTGAGTCTGAAGCATAATAAGAAGAGATGAAGAAGATAATAACAATAAAAATAAATAACCATTAAATGCTCATTGGGAATTATTGACAAGACAAGATTGAATGTTAAGGATTAGATGCTGCTGGATTTTTACATGAAAAAGACACGGTTAAGGCTAGTTATGGCTATGATGGGCAACCAAAGTGCCGCAGATTCTTGTAAAACGAACTCAAATGTTCCACAAAATCCAGGAAACATGTTAGTGACATTGCTTGAACCCGGCCAAGACACACTAGACTAAAGGATGCTGTTTGACAATTTTCGAAGTTGGAGAGTTGTCAGACATCCTAAGGAAGGGAGTTGTTTTAATATATTTATCTCAAGAGGTGCAAAAGGGTTCTTGAATTTCCTGGTTACTTCCATAAGAAACAATCAATTTTAAGAAAATCCTCAAAAATAAGCGAAATTTCAGATTAAGCTTCGATTGACTTAAACCATTTCAGTTCCCCTCCCTCTTTCTTTTAAATATTGCAGTCATATTTGAATGACTAGAGTATGTCAGGATTACCCGAATGACCCAATTCGTTTAATCGAATAGAAATCCGGTGCCTAGCCGGAATGACTCTGGCATGGTTCTGGCTTCGATTTAAATCCAGCACCATGCCAGAATCACACCAGCTTGGTACCGGATTTCTGATTAATTAACCGACTTGTGCCATTCGGGTTAGTCAATCCCTGTAAAAACAAAATTCATGTCCACTTTACAACTCTACCATAGTTAATAGTATCCAATCCTCAAGCTAATCATCACCACAAATTAACTACATAAACATAAAGATTAACTCACTTGTAGCATTCAGTCATTTCGAGTGCAACCGCCTTACAAAATCGGTATTTGTACTCATCAGATATAAATGACATTTCACCAAAATAATCTCCATCCGTAAAATGGCAAACTTCTTTGTCACTCGATGAGTATAAAGCCACTGATCCCGATGTTATGAAATAAACCGATGTTCCCATTTCACCGACTGCATAAATGACATCGCCTTCAAAAAATAATTCCATACTGAGGACAGAGATGATTCTCATTACAAGATACGATGGTAAATTTTCGAAGAAAGGCGAATTTTCAACTAGCTGTCGTGTATTATGGACCATTATCTCCTGTCTCAACGATACCGAAATGGTTTTGAGAATTTCTTGCTCGTTAAAGTAATTTTTGCAGAACATGTAGTCATAGTTGCTCTTCAGTTTCATTTTTGTGGATTTGGGTAAGCGATTACACGATGTATATTTATTCAGTTGCACCATCATCTCATCGTATCGTAGTGTAGAGCTTCGCACGCCTTGTATAAGTCGATAGATAGAAGCCAATGTTATATATAGACTAACACGTCCAACGATTGTGAGAACAGATGCATAAATTTTATCAAAATACATTTTTGGTTGCAATTCCTTTACATATCCTGTTCCCATTACAGTCTTAATACTTTTGAATAGACAAATCACATATTTGCCGAGCGGATCATGTTTGTAAAATATTTCATTCTCAAACCAGGCATTAACCTTGACATTCTTTTGAAACTTTCCAACAACGATGCCTGGTAGGATATGAAGACAAGCCGTCCAATGAATGCAAATTATCCAGTACATTAGCAATTGAAAGATATCTAAGAATTCATCGCTCATCTGAAATCTCGAAAGACCTCGTTGACAATATTTTATAAAGGTTGACAATCGGCAAATGCGTAAAAGTGTAGTAATTTTGATAAAATGTGATTCCATATCATTTGGACCCAACTGAAATGCGAGACCAACAAAGAATGGGATGTTTGTTAAAAGGTCGAAGACGAATAAGCCTCGGAGATATTCTCGAGCGATTTGTTTCTTATCAAGGATAATCTGAAAGTAGAAAAATGGAGAGAATGAAAAAAGGGTATTTTTATTTAAATATATATTTAGTAAAAGGAAGTGACATTGAGATTGTAAAAATACTTTTGATATTTTTACTAATGCTTTAAAAATTAAAGGCGATGGAAATGAAGATGTTCTGTATGTTTTAAGTTGCTTTAATAAACCGTGGTTTTAAGTATCAAGAGGGGTTGCTGTCGTAGCTGTGGTTAGATAAATTTGATAATTTTAGTGAATCTTGTGTTATCTTTCAAAACAATTCTAGTAAGTTAACCCTGGATTTGAATTTTAATGGAATATAAGAACTAAATTCATTTTGGATATAACCTACAGTGCCTTACTAAAAGTTTGATTAGAATCTAATCCACTCTCACATTTCAAAGACATGATAACCTCTATCTTATCTAGTTCCATCCTATGTGACTAGCAACAATTCGTGAGTACATAATGCGTAATGCCAAAAAATCTTTGTTTAAGAAGCTAAGGAGACATATTCTCAGCAAAGCTGAGCTTTGTGATTGGTTCCAAGAAATTAACTGAAATTCATTGACCTGAGTTTGAACCCATACTGCAGTTTGTAGGGCTCTCAGTAGTATTTTACTCTAGAAACGAAAATTAATAGCTTTACTGAGGATTTTAATTAAAACTAGACTTTTATATAATTATGGTATTCTAGATAGCTCCTAAACCAGCGCCAGTGACCTTAAGCACATCAAGACAACGACCTTTCTTATCAAAATTGCTGTTTTCACCCCCTGTTACTAATAAACCATAAATGTGACATACATACGATCTACATTTTAATTCAAATTGTAAGTCAACCTAATCTTAATCTTCCAGGAAATCTTCATCTGCCAAAAACATAATTCATTAAAAAATTGATTTTTCATTTTACAATGCTTCCAGCATAAAGTGCTCCTTTGTTTCCCCGCCAACGCAAAACTTTTTGTTCCTCTTTCATTTATTTATATTAAAAGTTTTGCCTTGAAACCACAGTTCCATACACACCATTATGATATCCAAAGACTTAACCTTAGGATGAGAACAATAAGAAGCAAATAAAGGAATTCTTTTTCTGTTAAATCATCCTCAAATGGATATTATAAGAAGAGGAAAAGCTCTTTTTGTGGGTCAATGCTTTAAGGCATTGATGGAAGTAAGAAGAAGGAAATCTTGTTTCAAGTGCGATCAAGAATTAATAACAGAATATCTGGGTGGTTTCTAATTTTAACTTTTTTTCTGAATGACTGAGTGCTGGATATTTTAATGGATGGAATTTAAGCATAGAGAAGGATGTTGTATGTAGATGATTGGATGTGTGGTTGAAGGATGAATTATGGGGAATTTTAATTTGTTTACGAGGGTTGCGATGTGTGACCTTGATGGGATAGTAAGCATGATTGGTTTATATTTAGAATATTGTGTAACTGAATTAACGCTACTACCTAAAGGTTAGCAAATTAGGCAACTGTCAAATATATTAGGCTTAACACTAATTTAAATGAAGTTTTAAGCTTCACAATGTAAGATTATTCTGATATCAAGCATAGCATTACATAACAAGCAGCTTAGATCATCCTAGTCTTATTATGTTACTGTGAACGACCTCTTACATCAAATTCTATTCTTAGCCATCATAATAGACATCGTATTACGTGAAAAGTCCCATCAATCATTAAAATTTGATGTCTGCATTGAATGTCTTTCTCCAGGGTCGAGGATCAGGTGTCGACTACAACATAATAATACAATCCTCCTCCTTCCCAAAAAACAAGCTTTTTATGTCCGAAAAATTGAATGCAAAATTTAAGGAACTCAACCTCTAACGTCCTTCCATTTATATTTACATTTTCAACATAATCGACATCCAACTCACCTCATAATTCTTTTCAAATCCCATAAAGAACCGCATCACCATATCGACCATACAAGAAATTTTAACAGCCTCCATTATCATCACATTGCCAAAATCATTCTCGAGATTATCATCAACATAATCCATGTATTGTAAAGGAACATAAATCAATCCGACAAGAAATATCGTTGCCATAAAGAACTCCCATATAAATTTGAAGCGTGAATACGGATGAATAGTCATTGGATGATTTTCTAAATGGGATTTCATTTCATTGACCACAGATGAATGACTGTTGAAGAATTCAGTTGCTACGAATGATTGTGGATCAATCGTTGTCCACTTGATGATGAATTTTTTGAATTTTGATCTACCGATTAAATGCTTTTGGAGGAGATCTTCTTCATCCTTTAATGTGCAGACATGTCCAAATATTTCGTAATATTCCATTACTTTTTGAGTTTGTTGCTTTTTATTACAGCTTGTGCCTTGAGGCTTTTTATTGAAATGAATGATGAAAGCTTTTTAAGAATTTTATTTCAACTTTTTTGTCTGCTTTGTTTTTCTTTATTTTGTGCTGTTGGGAGAAGAAAACTTCCGACAAAATAAATAAAAGAAAATTATTTTCCACAACTTTTTCTGCTTTATTTTCCCGCTTCATTTGCAGTGACAAACAAACTGGATTTGAAAGACAGTGAAAGTGATAAAATGGTATAAATTTCTTTGGGGGAATCAACAGAACATAGTACCCAAAAATCATAATGTAGAGTCTCGTGGGCATTTCTTTGTGGAATTTATTTAAAGGATGATTGTTATTGCTACTTATTTTCTGAGGGTTCTGGAATCAATTTTAAATGTCATGAGTAAGGTTGGCTATTTCTTCAATTTCATAGAGAACTATAATCTTACCCCCCCCCCCCCTCCTAACATCACATCATTTACGAACAACCCCTAATCAATTGTCAATATCGTTAATTCTCCAAATAAACAACCTAAGGGCTAGGATCACTTTCGTGATAAAAATACAAAAAAAAACGTTTGAGGTAACAAAATAAAATCCTCACAAAAAAAGGAAATGGAAAACTTTTTAGAATAATTTAAAGTGAGGAAGTGTGTTGCTTGGAATAAGATGAAGAAGTGAGCAACAAATTTAAGTTATACAATAAGAAAGAAAAGTAACTTTTATGTATTCAAGAGAGTTGAGAAAATACTTTACCTGCTGCTCAAGTTTTTGTCACTAGCTTTGTATCTTGAGAGGATTCTTTATTCATGAATATGTTAACCCGAGTAACAGATGCTTCAAAAATAGTTGTCTGGAATTCTTTATTCATGAATATGTTAACCCGAGTAACAGATGCTTCAAAATTAGTTGTCTGGAATTCTTTACTATTATGGTTTGGTAATTAGTTCAAAAATATGTTTTTGACATAAAATTTGCATCAATTAAAGCTTCAATCTTTGACATAGCATTAACATTAGACAGCATTGTAGAAAAAGCTATTAAGTGCCTCTATAGAGTAATCAGAAAGAAACTTGGCTCTAAAATCTTGTATAAATTCTCAAAGGTCGCGGGTTCAAATCCTTCGATTCTCAAATTGAACTTTGTTAAGGCTAGGACAAGGAACACAACTTAATAAGGAGAGGAGGAGGAACAATCCAAGCTTTGTTCTTGACAACAACCTACATCGTAAAGGCCCCTGCGTGTAACTTACACAAATATTGTCTCATTTCCTTCTCGGGCAGTGAAATAAATGTAAAAATGTCACATTGTATGCAATCTTCTATGCATTTTCATATCCAACAAACTTACAAGAGCTTCCATTTGTCTGCTCTTCCTTTATTCAGTGGTTTACCAGCCAAAGACTGTTTTAATGAAAAGATTATTGAATTTTTTTGAAGTTCATAATATTTTATCCAGCAATATGAAATATATCAATAACCTTTATAATCTTTCAGCATGAAAATGTCTCTCATTTCTGCTATGGGCCACTTGTGCCTATAGATTTTCATGTTCTCATCACATTTCTACAATACAAGGCGAAAATAATCTTGGATTAAAGAGTTTTATTAACTTGGAATGAAAGAATCATAAGAAAGCTCCTTTTATGCTTCGTTGGGTTCCAATTTTCATTTCCTTCTCGTTTTTCCCCTTTTTTCTTTCGTCGATATGCTTAAATATTTTTTCGGGTATTGAAAAAAAAGAAGAAAAAATAAAGAAATTATACAATTCAGTAGACCAGAAATTTATGAGCCGTTCCAATGATAAGAATGAATACATATCGACTCAATTTCGATCTGAGACTCATTTCTCTTTCTTTCTACCAAACTTCCTGCCAGTTATCATTGTTTCGAAATGAAGGGAAACATACACACAGTTCACAAAGTAAACCTGACTGGAATTGACGATTATTGTTGAACAAATCGTGCATATTTTGAGATCCTGACATGGTACAATGTTAGTTGAGGACTCAGTTCAGTAGTGTGTAAGGAAACAAGAAAGGGAAAGAAATTTATGGCTCAAACAGAGGAAAATAACGAGCGAGCAGAGATAAACGTTTCAATGGGAATGAAAAATTGAGCATTTAAATGCATAAATATTCTTTCTTTTTGTGCTACTTTCTTTTTTTATGTTTTGAAAGAATTAAATAAGGTAGTAAGTGATGTGATTGAAGATGAGGATTATTGCGCATATTTTACGTGATTTTGGAGAACGCTAGTTTTGTTGTGGGGGTTGTTTAGAGGTGATGTGAATCGACGTAAAAGGTAATTTTAGATCCTTTCATGCTTGAAGACAGATTTCCAGAGCTGAAAGGAATTTATTTCAATTTCTTTGGACTCAGTAGGGTCGGTTTCTAAGATTAACCACAGTTTGCTAGTCAAATCTAAGCTTTTATCTTATTAAGTTTAGGACATAGGTTTTTGATCCTAGGATCCTCCTGGAATAAGAACCAAGCTACACCTTCCTTCTTGTAACATTAAACAGCAATGATCCCTAAATTCTTACATTTTCAGCTTATAAAAGAACTCAAATTACACTCTAAAATATTTCAACCGTGCTAAAATGGATTATATTAAAAAAAGAGTACATTACAGAATTAACTTAATGCAATGATTCTCCAAACAGAATGAATTTAATTTAAATTAAATTATTGAAATAAATTGAAGAAATAAAATGTTGTAAAATATTCATATAACTCCCATGCTCGCCAAGCTGAGCTGTTTAAATTCATTTAATTTTCATTCCATTTGATTTTCTTCTTCATTTCATAATGCAATTGATTTATGTACATTCTATGTGAGAGTTAAATGTAGTGCAACGGAATTGAATTAGAAATGCATGAAGCGTGCTGTTGCTTTCAAACTATTCAATGAGATGAACTACAGAGTAAAAGGTTGTGCGTTTCCATCCGTAAAATGAAAAACAAACATCATGAAGTGGAAAATTAAAAAAAAGAATAAAATAAAAGAAAATGTTGTGCTGTACATTATACAATAATACTAAATGCAACTAGTTTTAATGTCGAGCATGAATTTTTCACACTTTGAAATCATTTCACATGCATGACATGCATTAGATCCTAATTGAAAATGAAATGAGCATCTCTAAGATAATGCAGCATTTTAATTATGAAATTATTCGGAATGCACAGCTTCTTGCATCATTGAATGTTGTACTGCAGTGATGAAATAGACAGCAGAATAACATAAAGACATTGCATGGAGAATTCATCAAAAGATTTTAAATGACTTCATTTGAACTGTTGTTATTGTTTTTATTTATTTCTTAACATAAGTTTAAGTTCCATCAATGATAATCTTTAGCTTATTTTAAATAAATTTCATATTCTTCACGGACTAAGTTCCAATGAAATATGCTTTCTTATGATAAATATTTTGCTTTCACTTCATCTTACTCATTTCTAGATAACAAGATGAAAAATTGAAATAAAAACTTCTAAAAGATAAGCAGAAATCCATCAACTTCGGACAATAATCCAATAAACATCAGTCAATAAATTAAGCATTTATGTAAATTTTGTTAAGCTGTGAATGATGCAAAGCTCGAGTCGCATGGAAAATTACTCAAAAATTGCTGATTAAGCATCTAACAATGTGTGTATAGACAGCATATAGTCTCATATGCATTGGAAGCTTTTGCCTGTCATCAAGATGATAAAGTGTTTTGTGCTCCGTCGTCTGTACTCAATTGTGCTTTCTTTGATTAATTCAAAGAATCATCACAAAAGGCAAGGAACCAAACAGTCTGCTTCATCACTGCAAAGCAAATGTTTTAAATGTATAAAGGACGACATAAATCGTTGATGGTGCTAGTGATGAAGCAGAAAAAAAGGGTCATAGTAAATATCTTAAGCCTTTCCACGCGTATTTATGGCAATTTGATATTTCAATTTCGATAGGGATCAATAAACGGTTGTGTGATTGAGCGCAAATTGATGTGCTTATGATACTCAGTCGACCATTTAAGGAGTTTGAGAGTCTTAATTGTTTTTTGTTCGATCGGTTGCTTTGCCAGCAGGGGGAAATGGGTTTGGTTGAGATCAATAGCTTCTAAACCAAAAATATATTTAATTTGCTCAGATTTTTGAGTCCTACGCCTCTGACAATAGGTTCTTGAGTATGAAAATATTTGACAATTATGAGAATATGACTTAATAAAAGTCAAAAATGATTTAATTCTATCTCTTCCTGGTTACGCCTCTTGACCTAAAAAAATGACTTTAATTATATTTCAAAGCTTTACCGCATCCTGAAATTTAAATTAAATTTCCCAGAACTCTTCTATTTTCATGTCCTCTAAATAATTTAAATTCAACTCATCAACATACAAAGCTAACACATGCCAGTTAATAATAGAACAATAGCGGAAGCGAGTGACAAAAAAGTTTTTAACAATTCAGAGAGTTCATAAATTTTTAAGTAACATACATCTATGCAGTACATCTTTTTATACGGCATATAAAGTGCTGTGGTTTGTTTTCCGTAACATGAAAAAATTTGTGAACCAAATTTATTGCTCATATTAAGTATGGAAATTGTGGTTTGATGCATAAAAAGTTTGTTTCCCGTCACATAGCAAAATCTGTCATTCTTGTCATGAAAAGTCACACTTTTCTGAATGGTAAATTCTCCAATCTGCTTAGTTTCACAGCTAATGATGGCTACAGTTTTTATTCGAGAAACTTTTCTGATTAAAATTTCCTTGATGAACTTTTTTCTTCCTTTTCTTCGTCCTCGTTTTATTTTTCGTAATTCTTATTACATTTTCTGTTTAATGAGCAGCTTGATATGGACCCATATTTTCCATAATCTTCTTGTTGGAATTCTTTTGAGCTTTAATTTTGAAGGATTTTGGATTTTAGTGTTCAGATTGGGTCCTTAGTAAGTTACGGACCAAGCAATAAGTTGTCAATTAATTGTCAACCGAGTACTGTGCCTATATAAGTAGTGATTTTTGAACTGTGCATCTCGGCATATTATTATCAATTTAAAGCACTGAGCTGTCTTTGTCACACTACTGT